GAATTCTTCGATGGATCTTTAATGAATCTTCTTCAATGGCAAATCGAGTATCGTCTTTCATCGTCAGATCAGACTGTAATACTTGCTGCGAAATAGGAGTGTTTTGGAGTCATCGCAGAACTTCTTAAACCGTGAGTTTTTATTTTAGGTTCCTCCAGTGCTCCTCAATCATGTCGAGGATGAAAGGTCCTAATCGGCACGAGTTACTGGTTGTAATTATTTCAATAAATTATTGACGAACACATGGGTAATTCTTTTTTAGGAGTTACTCATGAAAATTGTATATTTTATTCTATGTTTTATTATTAGTTCAGGACAGGTTTTCTTGTCTCGTCGGTTAAATTCATTTAATTTAATAATGCAATTAATAAGTGCACTCTCTTTTTTATTACATTTTTTGTTCGTGGTCAGTAGTGATGAAATCAAGCATTAATTTACTCGATTTCGTGCCAATGTAATAAATAATAATTATTACATATATATATATTATGTATATATTATATACATAATATTATACATATTATACAATTGGATGTAAATGTTTTTGTTATTGTTAAACGTAAATGGTTATTCAATAGAGAACTTCCATCGAAAAATATCAAAACCACTAATTATATGTAATAAGCAGGAAAAAGGAAACCACGTTTGGTCGAGTTAATAAAATGCGTCATTTTTCGTGGCTAGCATGTTAAGATATAATAATAATAATAATAATAATAATAATAATAATTTGATATTCGAGTTTAATTTGCTATAACATTTGTTCATAGTGAATGCACATAGCTAATATTCTTTAGTTATCAAAGTCAATTCGAAACGAGAACACATCATATTAGTTTGAATTAAGAATAAGGAAGAAAAGAATCAAATAATATCTTTGATATTGAATTAATTATTCATACAACAGTATTAACAAATAAATAAAATGGCATCCATTCGTTTCATTGTCATTATTACTTTTCTATCATTGATATTTTTAATGGGGATTATGGAAGTTAGCCCTGTAATCACTCCTTTTTTGAGAAGAAGTAAAAATCCATGTCGTCCTAAATATAGATTGGATATTTCTGGAAAATGTCGTTTGCCCTTTTAAATTTCAAGGTACGTTATTATAAATAATTTAGTTATTTATAAATATAAATAAATTCAGAAAAGAGTAACAGAATTTTACTACTAATTTAAAAAAAAAGAAAAAAAACAAGTGTGTTTGAATTATTTTTTGTTCAAGTTTATACAGTTGTACGTATGAATTGTACGTGTTCAAAGGACAAAGTTATTAACTCCACCTTTTGTGCTTTAAAAAAAACAAAAAAAAACAAAAACAGAGAAGAAAAACGTTTGAAATTTTAGCGAACAAAGCACTTAATGGGTGTTTAACTCTTTTCGCGCGTTATATTTCATTTTTTTTTTTATTTGCTTATATTTTTTGTAGTTCAAATTCGTACTATTCTTCGAGATAATTAAATGTTAATTTCTGTCACACCGAACTATGAGATAATTAATATGATAATTGATGATTATTCATTTTTTGAAATGAATGAAACTTCTTTAGAATAATCAGGGTGATTTGAAAATTGTGAAACGGAATAACGTGAAACCGATGAAACAAGAATAATTAATCAATTAATCAAATTCAATATATAATTTTATTCTATATTATTTAATTCTATATATTATATTAATTAATTAATTAATTAATTAATTAATCAAATTCTATATATAAAAATTCAGTGTTACAATATGTTTGTCCATTAATAATTTCAAAACTACTCAACTTATTTTGATGAAATTTATTTATTTATTTATTTTTTTTTTTGTAAATTATTTTTTATTACTAATTTAAAGATTTTTATTCAGAGATTATCTAGGTTCTGTAAGGTTCTTTCAATAGATGGCACTGTATTCAAATTCAATTATTACGATATATTAACGTCTCGAAGTTTGGTTTTCTTTGAAGGTTTCACTTCTATCGTGTGTGATCTGCACACGGTATGTTTTTTTTTATTTTATTTTTAATGTAAAATGACGGTTCTATATTTGTAATCAATTAAATTCAATTATATTCGATTCATTTTCGTTATACATTTATTAAAACACAACTTTTATAAACTTATAAATTTCTTTTTTTATTTGTCACTTTCGATACGATGAAATTAATCGTTTTTGAAAAAAAAAAAAAAAACGAAAAGTAGTGTGCAAATTTGTGAGATGTAAATTTAACTTTCAATTGGATTAATTTATTTTTATTTGATTTGATTTTTGTCTCTTCTTTTTCTTTTCTTTTCTTTTCTTTTCTTTTCTTTCGTTCATTTGTATTTTTTTTTGTTTTTTGTTTTTTTTCGTTGTAATTTCACGAACGTGTTTCACTTTTATTTTATAGATATAAAGAATAAAAAAAAGGAGGAAGGTTTCAATTGGAGCATGGAAATCGTACAAGAGAGAAGAAGGAAGAAATGGAGATGCAACATTTAAAAGTGTTTATTTATTTTCATTCAATTCGTTAAAGTATGTTTCTGGTATAAAAGCACATTCCAAGGTCTTTACGAGTTTTCTTCTTCTTCTTCTTCTTTTTATTTTATTTTATTTTATTTTATTTTATTTTATTTTATTTTATTTTATTTCGATTTTTCTTTTAATAGCAAAAACTCTCTTCCTTCTGATACTTTTTTTTTTTTTTTTTCGTTTGATGAGAATCTCATCGAGGTTGTTTCAGTAACATCATTTAAAACTATAACTAAATGTTGGAAAAGTGTAATTCTTTCTTTCTCATTTTCTCTCATTTTTCCTCACTTTCTTTCACCTTTACTCTTCTTTTTTTTTTTTTTTTNTCTTCTTTTTTTTTTGTCCAACTTATGGGTAAACGCTTTTTGTAAAAAAAAGACAAACAAATAATATTTTATGCATAAGTTTAACCACTCGTTATTATATAAATAATAATAGTAATTATTATAATAATAATAATAATAAAAATTACGCAAGAGTAGAACAGTAAAATGACGAAACGTTTGTTAAATAAAGTATCGTTCGTTGCAGTTAAAAATTACAACAACAACAACAAAAAATAAAGCGAATTATTGTTTTCATGCGGTTTATAGGAAAACTGTATAATATTGTTTTTGCAAAACGTTTTTTCTTTTTTTTTTTTTTTTTTTTTATTATCGTCAAATAGTAAACTTTTATATTGGAGAATTTGGTTGGTAAACGGTGACGTATTTCAATGTTTATTTTTATTGAAAATTGTAAATAGGGCAAAAAGAGTTATTTTTTTTTTTTTTTTTTTAAATAAAAAGATAATACGATGTATTTTGAATGTCTTCGATTTTTTGGGGAGAAATTTATGACAATAAACTGTATGATTGATCAATTGAATTTTTTTTTATTTTTCCTTATAAAAATGTTCAAAATGTCTATCTGTTAAATGAATTACAAAATGAGTAGAACAACGATTTTATCAAAATAATAATTGATTAGTTTTGTATCCCTGACAGCCAAATGATTTCGGATAATCGATTGTAAAATAATGAAGAGAATCGATTTTCCATTTTTAACGATGTTCATAAATAAATCGTACAAAGATAGTGCGTACATCTCGACCGGAAATTCATTATTATCGATACTACTCTCGTCGTTTAATAATAATATTTTATTTTTATTGAAATCAATTATTTGTCGATCTATAAAAAAAAAAAAAAAAACAAAAGAAACAAAAAATATAAAAATTTTAGAACAATCTATTTTTAAAAAAGCAAAATTATGTTTTGAACAACCAAATAACAGTATTTCTTAAAAAAGAAAAATCTATCGGGTGTGACCATTTTAAGAAAGAAATGTCAAGTTTTCTCTTATTGAAAATCGACTGGTTTTCAGGGTGGTGTGTGGCCCCTTAGAGAGAGAAAGAGAAAAAAGGAGATTGGAACGTCAGGATGCTTTTATAATATACAATAAACATGTACTCTTATGTGTTGTTAGTAATAGTTGCTTTTTCCTTGCTTATGTTAGAGATATATCTAACCTTAACACACATACACACACACACACAAACACATATTCACATAAGTAACTATACTTAAGTATATTATATATATACCCACACATGTAAACAACAGTCAATCGAACATAGAAAATCGACGAGGACTTTATCACAGTCGATCGAAATGGAATTGCGTTTTGTAAAAAGGGAGGGAATAATAAAAAAAAAAAAAAAAAAAAAAAAAAAAAAAACCAAACAAACTTCAAAGAATCCGAATAAAAATGAAAAATATAAAGAAGAACACAAGTAGAAGATGTAGTAGAAGAAGTGGTAGAAGGAGTAGGGGAAAGAGGGTGAGGATGAGGATGAGGTGGAGTTGGGAGTGAGGGAGGGGTAGGAGAAGAGATTTGACTGTAACGTCAATGTAAATTCTTTGGAAGCAGATAAATCGTGCACTTTTGACCTTTGTCCAAGATACGCTTTTACCAGAGAGAGAGAGAGAGACAAAGACAGAGAAAGAGTCAGATAGAAAAGGACAGTGAATGAGAAAGAAATCAAGAAATAAAGTAAAGAAAAAAGAAAAAAGAAAAGAAAAGAAAAGAAATATAGATACGTAGTAGTACGTAAGAAGAAGACAAGAATAGAAAGAAAGTATGAGAGAGAGAAAGAGAGAAAGAGAGATAAAGAGAGTTTTCGATCGGTACTCTCTCCACTTTTTCTCTCGTTTCTATCTTCGAGTTGGTGGGAGAGAGAGAGAGAGAGAGAGTTCTCTTTCCTCAAGTCAGTATCTTTGTTCGAGCCTGTCGTGAATGAGATCGGGTACTCGAGTTAGAAGCGCGTTTATTACGTTGTGTAGACGATAAAAGCTGAGAACGTATCTTTCGATCTGGTGATCATCGAAAGAACCAGAAATAACCGAGCAATCGAATCCGTTTTATCCTCTTTTTTTTTCTCTCTTTCCTCCTTTTCTTTAAGATATTTCTCGTTTTCTTCTTCGTCGTGGTTATCGTCGTCGTCGTCGTCGTCGTCGTCGTCGTCATCTTTGATTTTTATCCCGAACACTCAGGTATTTCTTTTGTCTCTCTCTTATATATATATTATAATATATTTTATATGTATAGGTTATGTGTATATATATATATATATCTTATCGGTATTTAAATATTGACGCTAAAGCAGGTAGATTCCACTAATGCGCCAATCTACAACTTAAATTGTTGCGACAAATCATAGAATAAATAAGTTTATTTAAAATTTAAAAACTTTCAAAATTCAAAACATTTTATTTATAAAAAGTAGTCAATCGGATTTCAGTGGAAAATGAGCAGAAATAGAATTTAACATAGATTCAAAACAGTCTAAATTAACTTTCATCTGATAGTGTCACGATAACACTGACGCAACCCTGACGTAAACCTGACGAAACCCTAACGAAACCCTAACGAAACAATGACGCAACCCTGATGAAACCCTGACGAAACCCTGACGTAAATCTAACGAAAACCTGACGTAAACCTAACGAAAACCAGACGCAACCCTGTCGAAACCCTGACGGTTGCTGTGTGCAAACTACAAGGTTGTTGTATGCGAACAACAAGATTGCTCTTTATTGGCATATTAGCGAAATTTTTGCTGCTATGGCGTTAATACGTAAATACCATCTTATCTATAATATTTTCATCTTTTTATGGAAGACCTTATTTTTCTTTTCCCTTCGATCATCTTCTCTCAATCTTTCTTTTTCTCTCTCTCTCTCTCTCTTTCATTCTCTCTATCTATCTCTTTCTTTTTCTTTATTTTTTTATTTCATTACACGTTTAACAATCATTGAAAGATTCAATTTTTCTCTCTTTTGTTCAAGTTGTTCGTTCTCTTAACATCGAATGAAATTTTTAAGTTAACATTTGTCTTTCCCTTCTTTCAAAGTAGCTTCGTTTTCATCCCAATCTCTTCTTCTTCTTCTTCTTCTTCTTCTTCTTCTTTTTCTTCATCTTTCTTTTAAACATCTGCATCTTCCCTCTCCCCACCGCCCCCCCCTCCCCCTCATCCCTTTTTTCTTCCTCTATCTCATTCTCTTTTCTTAGTCTGCCAACGAATTTAGTAAAAGACGCCTTTTGATTTTCCTTAGAAGGAAAACTCTCTCTCTCTCTCTTTCTCTCTTTCTCTTTCTTTCTGTCTCTCTCTTTTCCAAGTTATCGCTACTCACCGTAGAAGCTCCGAAGAGTTAATTCGATGTTCAGCGAACCCTTATTCGTCCTTCTTAAATTCCCTCCCTCCATGCCTGTGTCTGTCTGCCTGCCTAGCTTCCTTCCTTCCTTCCTTCTTTCCTTCCGTTTGAAAAATGAACCCCTCTTTCCCCATCCTACATCACCACCACCCACCTCTCTTTCTCTCTCTCTCTCTCTCTCTCTCTCTCGTTCCCTTTCTAGTCTACTCTTTTAGCCAAAGTGCCGCGAGCCTTCTTACTTCGTCTCTCTCTCTCTCTCTCTCTCTCTCTTTCTCTTCAATCATCTCTTCCAACTCTTGTGTGCTTTCTTCAACAAAGAGTGGGGGGTGGAAAAACCTATTTTTAAGATTCACATTTGCGATGAAAATCGATAAGCAGATGTATTGCTTTATTCGCATCGTATATTTATCGTGGCTGCATCGGATACTACAGATGTGTATTATTAGAAGAAGATATCGTGTATCGGTTAAAGGAAGGTGGGTGAGTGGGTGGGTGGGTACTAGAGGAAGATGTAGGGTGAGGTGTAGGTGGAGTAGGGTAAGGTGGGTTGTGTGGGACGAATAAACCAGACGGAGTATTTTCTTCTTCTTCTTCTTCTTCTTCTTCTTTTACTTCTACTTTTCTTTTCTTCTACTTCGACAATACCTGCCAACATACCTACCCTTTTCCTTACCTTACCTTACCTTACCCTACCTTACCTTACCTTACTTTACCTTCTCTTCTCTTTTATTCTATTCTCTTTTATCCCTTACTTTCTTTCTTTCTTCGATATATATATATATAGATATACACCTAAGAATAAATGTTTCTCCACTTTTCCTTCACGTGCTATCGCATTTTCTTCGTTAAAGAAAACTCCTAACATGGATTCTTCTCTTTTATACCTTCGTTTCTTGTTTTTCTTTTCTTTTTTTTTTTTTGCATTATTCCAACCAACATCGATCGATCTTATATATACCCACACACAAACACATATATATATATATATTTGTATATATGTTTCACTTTGATTACATATGTATCATTGATTCCATTCATTTGAAAATTTCGAGTACAGGAAGTTATTAAGAATTCGGAAAACTTGCTACATATCCCATCTATAGATATGAAATATTCTTTATTTTATTTTTTATTTATATCTACCTATAGTTCTCTCCTATATATATATATATATATACATATATTATACATTTATACATACATATAAATATTCATTGTCATCACTATAAAAAAAGCAATAAAATATTCTCTATTGAAAATTTGAGTACTATTATTGCATTTTGCATTATACATATGTAGTTTATTTTATTTAGTTTCAAATCGAAGAAAATACTTGTATAAAATCTTTAAAATAAAAAAAAATAAAAATAAAAAAAAAAGGAAGAAAATAATTGAAACAATTGATTATTTCATAACGAATTATACATATCGGTAATGCAGGAATAAAGGTGTTATAATAAAAAAAAAAATTACACAGGAGACGTATATTTACGCCTTTCGTATATATTGATGGATTTGTGAGAGCGTATATATACGCCTTTAGCAGTCAAAGGGTTAATCATTTTTTTTTTTTAATACGAATTCTTCTATTAATGATAAATTTTTCTGATTCATTTTCTTACAAAAATATTTTGTAATAATTAATGATGTAATATTCAATTATTTTCAGATATTACATATCATAATAGTACTCAAATTTCATGTAATAAAACTTGTATTCGATAGTATCGTATGTAATATGAATGATTTCACAGTGATATGTGTTATTTTTTTACGACACGTTCGTATTTATCTAACAGGAAGACGTAATCCGGAAATGGCTTGTCCCAAGTGTCATCTTTATTTCTTATGGTATTATTTGCTGATCGTTGCTATATTGACGTATCCCACGGAAGAAAGTAATATTCATACGAAAAGTTACCTGCGGAATCAAGTTGAAAAAACTATCGAAAATGTGAAGGATAACATTTCGATGAATATAAATCGAATTTTTTATAATAAACCAATCAATGATAACACATACAATGATGAATCGAGTACAACGACTGTTTTACCAAATGTGGAATCTCGACAGATTATTTATGCACCTATTAGGTGTCCACCTAATCACGTGATCGTTGATGGAAAGTGTCGGCTACATATTCCATGATTATTCGTGTGTATGTGCATATGTATGTTTAAAAATAATTTCACGTGTTTTATTTAAATTTATTTGTATTTAAACAAACAAACAAAAACAACAAATGTAAATTCGATATAATTTGTGTAAAGAAAAAAAAAAATATATATATATAATAATAATAAAAAATATATGTATATGGGAATATGTAACGATGATATCGATATTATACCATAAATCTATGAAAGCATCGTTTGTAATTTCCCAAGAAATTTCGAAACATCCTGAATTTTCTATGTAAATGTACCACACGAGAGAAAGACAGAAAGAGAGAGAGAGAGAGAGAGAGAGAGAGAGAGAGCTTTGTAAATTTGATATCGTTTAGTATAACACGCCTTCGATAAATGTATTATCATGAATTGAAATTCTATCTGAATTCGATAAAATGCGCAAATAAAAAACAGAAAACAAGGAATAAAAATAAAATAAAATAAAAGAAAAGAAAAGAAACGATTGATAAAGAATAAGCAAACGTTGAGTATCTATATATATATATATATATATAAAATGATATAACTAAATTATTATGATTATATTTATATATTAGGTCATTAAATATGAAATGTCTGATTTTGATGTGAAAATAATTCGTGTAATCGGACATTTCATAATTAATAACTTAATAAAAAAATAAAAAAATAGATATAATTTTTCATTGGAATTTATGACTCATCGATTACGCGAGGTTTCTTTTAAAAAACCACTCCCACCTTTTATAATTCTTGATAAATAAAAAGTAAAGAATAAATAGGAATGTTTGATGAGAAAAATTGGTATGTTTCGTTTGGATGGGCAATGAAAGATCGTTATCGATATGTTAGTTTTTGGTCAAAAAAAAAAAAAAAAAAAAAAAAAAAAAA